GACAAAGCCTTCCTCTGTGCTGAGGGTATTAGGGCTTAATCCACCATGCGGCCACACTACGGATTAGCGGAATAGAGTATAAAGTCTATTCCATCAATGTGTGGCTTATTAATAAAACAATTATTAATAAACCACACATCAACAACTTCATTCGTAGGAATTTAAACAATTCACAGTACGAGAAATGGCGTAACGTATTAGATTACATCACACGTCAGACATTATAATTAATGCACGCAGGTGCGTTGTCACAGGAATGAAAACAAATCAGACGCAATAGACATTTAGCTGAGGAATTGCATACTGGATGCTGCCCAAGAATTGCAAGCAAAGCAAAAAAAGCTAAAATGGCACTTATCATCTACGTCATTGGTCATAAAGTCGTAGAGCGAACTGTTCATACCCGTGACATTCTGTGTCCGTCGCAAGAAAACGATGAAATAAGTAAATATGGATTCTATTGCAATCGTGGAAGATTCAAAACATGTTAACCGCTCTGACGGCATACAGGCTGAAGATTTAACGGTTATTCTAAGCGAGTAACGCGAAACATCCGGCTCGAAGGACCAACTAATTGGATCGGTCACGCAAATTCCTGCGCACGCGTCTGCCTTTGAGACTCGCGCGCATACCGCAAAGCTCCTCGGTTAATTAGTACAAGGATTGATTAATTAGTTGGTTTCCTTGGCGATTTGTTACGGACGATCTTAGGCGCGGTTTCAAAGGGCGTGATGAAAGGCGCCTGTCGCGTTTATTACTCTCCTTGATGGTGTTTACTAATACAACGGAATGTTTTAAATTATAAAACTAATTCACCTATTTAATAACATTAATAACTTTAATGTTTATGCGAACACTCTATATATTGAGACTATTTTAAAGGGCTTTAGAGCATCCCCTGTTTACAAAATGTAAAACACATCTCCTTGATAAAGAGAAAGTTTTAGAAAAAAAACATAAGAGAAAAACTGTTGTTTTGATATATCTGGAACTCTGTATGGTATTTCTGAAACTCTTTGTACGCCAAAATATACCATTGCTTCATAAATTACAGTATATCCACAAGGGGGAATTAATAAAAACTATTATTATTTATTTCAATAGTACACACAAACAAATAAATTGACATTATATATATTCATACACAGATCTTACAAATTAAAATTTCTTAATACTTTAATTACATTGTCATAATGTTCAAATTTATTCAACACTAGCTTTCCGCCCGCGGCTTCGCTCGCGTTGAAGCCCTTAAAGTAATATCTTTCAACCCTTTACAACACTTTTTTTACAATAAAAAAATATGTATCCCTATGTCCAGGCTCTAGACTACCTCTGTACCAAATTTCATTTAAATCGGTTCAGTAGTTTTGGAGTTACTTTCGCATTTATAATATTAATACGGAAGTATGGATTGGGATTACTTTAAATGTTATTATGGCGTAAAAAGTTAACGAACACACGGTGAGATCGTGGTTTATAATATAAACGAGATAAACATATAAACGAACGTGGTTTATAATATAAACCCGTTAGCGATGCGTTAATTATCTTACAGCGACCGCGTAAATCTACGGACTGCGCAATTCCTGAGCCCGGACGATATATGGCGCAAAGTTCGAGACTCCACTTTGCGGGGTCCCCGGTACGGCTCGAGATCAACGGGAGATTAAGCCGCGTCTAGTTTCAGCCGTTTGTACATACGAGCACGTACACCTCGCGTTTATTATGAACCGCCTCACGTGCGCGTCTGAGGGCGCTGTTCTAGAGTCATACGCTATTCTATTTGCACACTAGCTGTGGCCGCGACTTCGTCCGCGTGGAATTGAAAATAAATAAAATATCTGAAATAAAGGTGGCCTCAGTTAATCCCTCATCAGCTATCTGCCAGTGAAAGTCCCGTCAAAATCAGTGCAGCCGTTTCAGAGATTAGCCCGAACAAACAGACAGACAGACAGACACAAAAATTGTAAAAAATGTTATTTTGGTATATAATATAAGTACCGTGTATACCATCCATATGCATTTAGTAAAAGCGGTTAGGTATTAGTTAGCTCCAATTTTATTTATCTGTAAAGATAAATGTGGGATTCGGTGGATGTTGTTGCGATGTAATATGACCTCCAAACGACAAAATTGTTTCTGTATAGAATTATGGCTAAATTCGTGTCTAAGTGATAATCTAAATAATTATATACTAAAATATAAAATGTTACAAAATACCTGTGTTATTTTTTTGCATCTTTGTTGCTTCTTGTGTCTCAAAATAAATAAAATAAAACATTACAAACGGCCACATTCCATAATAGTAATCGTCACCACCTTTATATCATCTTCCCGAATTATTTCATATAAGTGCTTTGCCATGAGTAAGATATCCAAATATGTATTACTAGCGATCCGCCCCGGCTTCGCACGGGTGCAATGTATCATATTTAAATCTTCCTCTTGAATCACACTATCTAGTAAAAAAAACCGCATCAAGATCCGTTGCGTAGTTTTAAAGATCTAAGCATACATAGGGACAGGCAGACAGCGGGACGACTTTGTTTTGTACTATGTAGTGATGTATTATTATACTATATGTATCATGCACACACGAGTATAATATATCAATATAAATATATTGTTTTATACTATGTAGTGATCCACATACGAGTTTCATCTATCAATATATATTTTACTATGAGCTACGCAACCTATCTAGTACATATCGTCGATACATACGGAGTATGGAAGTCCGTATTATCCGGGTCGATCTGCAGGCAGACAGTTGTACACACAGGAGGACGCACAGCTAAACACAACTAAACACAAATAAACAGCGACGGACGGACAACGGACCTCGTGTTTACCGAGACGGACCCCGAGCGCTTTCGTTACTTAGCGCTGCAGTTTCAAATCGCTGCCTGAAACTGTATTACATTAAAACACGGAAGTAGCTCCAATGTTCGATTAATCGCATCTTATATGCTGTTACGAAATTCCTTTGCGGAACAAATCCTTCAAATGTACTACAATGCTACTCAAACTTTTTCCGTTGAACTTTTCCTTTAATAAATTAAAATTAGCAATGCAGACTCAATTTGGCAATAGCCTCTATACAGAGGCCTTTGCAGCGGTTGGACACAAATTGGATCTTATTTTACTTTTTAGGGTAGGGGACCCCATTTTTAAGACTACGCTGTCTGTCTGTCCGTCTGTCACCAGGCTGTATCTCATGAACCGTGATTGTTAGACAGTTGAATTTTTCACAGAATATGATGTATTTTTGTTGCCGCTTTAACAACGAATACTAAAAAACAAAATATAAAAATATTTAAGGGGAGGTCCCATACAGGAGACATGATTTTTTTTGCCCGTTTTATAGACAATAGTACGGAAACCTCCGTGCGCGAGGCCGACTCGTACTTGGCCGGTTTTATTTAAGGCGGGCTCAATTGGGCAGAGTTAGGTTGATTTTTTTACATTCGATTATATCGATACATTAATAAAGTTTAAAATTACAGATAAATGTTTTGGCAACTATTTGACACATGAATCTTTATTACAGAGAACATAAGTTCTTAACACGCCATTTCGAAGTTAGCCCTCCAAATATCTTCGAAAGATTTGTAATTCGAAAGATTTCTTAGCTGAAATACCCAATTCTTGTTTTCATATCCTCGTGATTTTTTCCTTCACCACAAAAGTCACGATATATCAGACACTTTAGTTTAGACTAGAAGTTTCTATCTTTGCCAGGTTTTCCAAAGCAAAACGCCTTTTCACTACATTGTCATATGAAAGTAGAACATTTTTATTATTGATAAAAACCACGCAATAAAAATATACGTGCTCAGTTTTCCGCTAATAATATGAGGATTCGATAAAAAGTCGCCGACTCAATTTGATTCAGGCAATCAAAATTAGTTACAACCCCCACAGACACAAACTGGACGGTAGAAGGGTTTGGAAATCTTATGCTAATATTTACCCCCGCCCCCATAACTCCCTTTATGTCGGATATTAGAGAATATTTCAGATTCATAATAACATAAATATTGTGATTTTAATAAATACAAAACATTGAAGTAATTAAATTTAATCCGACAAAGGTAAATTTACAGAGACTTTTCTTCGTCTAAATTTCGGATGTAAAAAGTAAGGTAAAGTAAAATATAAGCCTATACGTCTCCTACTGCTGGGCAAAGGCGCCACGCGGCCCCACTGCTAATTGGCGGACATCACATATCTTCGAAATATTTTTTTTATTATTATTTCCTAAATATGCAGATTTCCTCACGATGTTTTCCTTCACCGCTGAGCACGTGATAATTCGGCACTTAAAACTAACAATTTCATTGGTGCCGGCACCAGGGATCGAACTCAGGTTGCTCGACTATATTAAATGAAAGGCGAGCACGGACACTGAGTTATCACGGGTCAGGTTGTAAAACAGTACAAGATAATAATGTTATTGGATTATGAAGAACTGTTTTTAATAAAACATAATTGTATTTTGTACTTTCAATTTACATTTAGACATGATCAAGACACACATAATTAGCACAAATGTGTAATTTCATCATTCAAAGTCAGTGAAGATTTTCGTCGATGTGAGGACACGCTGTTTAGGTCAGTGTTCAAATTCTCATCCATTTTTATTCAAATTTTAAATATAAATAACTATTAAATAATGGCTTTAAAAGTGTTTCATCGATTAAGAAGTTGGTAAACAAATTACATTAGTGATTTGAAGAGGTCAACATATACATGAGCAAACAACATACTAGGTTGAAAGCCGTTAAGATGAGCGAGCAAAGGACTCAATAAAAAATAGGTTAATCGCTTTCCTTTTCCTTCGCGAATTAAATTTACTTCGAGCAAGGTATCCATGGCGACGGGATATCTATTAAGAGATGACGTCACGGCCGTAATTGTTCCAATTCGAGAGGTAATATTCAACAAAGGGGCCCGGATGATCCGCCCCACAGTTTTGAGGAGGCGAACGGTAATCAATCCCGGCCCAATCCTTCAGCCGTGATTAAATCCCATTCGGGAATTTTAAACGCGCCTAAATTGAGTTTCAACTGAACCGGTTAATATGGGATCGATGGTGGATTGGAATCAATCATTTTGTACAGGTGAATATTGTCTCTTACCCTGTGGTTCGAAGACTTTAAATACTTTTTTTTTATGAAAAGGTGTCAAGCGTGAAAACGCAGGTGCCATACTTAAACCTAATATAACATTGCCCTATACAACGATTAGTGCGTATTGCATCCCAGTAATTTACTCGATACTGTTATTTTACGTGAGATGGTGGCAAACGAGATGGCAATTCACCTGATGTTAAATGGTAACCGCCGCCCATTGACGTTTGCAACACCCGTAGCGTTGCAGATGCGTTGCCACCTTTTAATGAAACGGGCCCCTGTTTCCCAACTCACCAGAAAAAACCCAGAAGTGTAACACCTCCACTTCACGCCGGTGTTCTGTGAGGTCCTGATACTTCCCTGAACGGAGCTGCTCATTCGTGCAACAGTCAAGATTGTTGCGTGGAAACTTTGGATACATATTTGTTTTTTAATGAGAAAACGCAAACAGACTAATGGTTAATTGGATTGACACAAGCGCTGCTTATATCCGGCTCGCCTTTGCTTACCTTACTTAAACGAAACGTAAAGGAATAAATACTCCTACTTCACGCTAAGGCCGTAACTGCAGAAGGTGATATTCAATAACTACTAGTCAGATTTCGCTCCGAATTTAGTATGTCATGTGGAGATATCCCAGACACTGAGCTGTGATAGCTCAGTGTCAAATGCCAATGAAGTTGTTATCTTTAACTGCTGACATATCACGTGCTCAGCGGTGAAGGAAAACCTGCATATTTTCGGAATAAAAAAAATATTTCGAAGATAATGTGAAGTCCGCCAATCCGAAGTGAGGCTGCGTTGTGGACTATGCAGTGGGACATGTACAGGACATATATAAGTTTACTTTTGAAAAATTTCAGTGCGATTGTTTTAAATGGCAAAGAACAATATATTTTTTGTTAACAAAACTAATGATATTGTACTTATGAAACATTTGGCATTCTTTTAGTTTTATAACATGACGGATAGCGTAGAAGTTATTGTTATTGCATAGATAGGTTAATAACAATAAATATTTTTTTTATCTCTGGTAGGATCTATCTGAAAACTTGGAAGTCCCCATAAGCGCCGCACTCCATCAGGCGATGGATCGAGATCTATGGAGACACATCGTTGAATATGAGTCACGATCCTCAGAAGTGAGGGAACTACTTAGAAGAAGAAGACCTACCTTTATCAACTTATTCTGGAGCTTGGTGACGGCCATGCGTTCACGCTGAGTGCGCCGTTTCTCCTCCTCGACCTGTGCTTCCAATTGCTTTATTCGTTTCTCGAGGAGTTCCTGCAGCAAGAGACGTATTGCTATAATAAACACGCGATGTATAAGACAATTTATATGTAACAACAGTCAAAACTTAAATGTATATAATGTACTGCTTGTACTGATTTTAATTTTAATTAAAAATCGGACTGAGACGTTTGACGTTTTGATGTTAATAGTGGTTATCTCGGTCAATTTGTATGATTTTCCTTGTTTGTATTATTAACATAAAAATTTGTCTTTTGGTATTGCGATATAGCGACGAATCCACATGGTTTCCGTATATATTTGTAACATTGGCTTCCTTTCCCGGAAATCCTAGAGTGCAATTCTTACAATCTTAATTACTTAATCTTATTACAATCGAACTGAAATTCAAGCGAACGAAGCCGCGCGCGCCAGCTAGTTAAAGTGTACAAACTAATTATTCTACACGCAAACTGCTGTAAACAAATCCCAGTCAAACGCAGACGTCCCGAACTAATGCAGCCTCCTAAATAGCTGTTTCAATGTAACCTGCGCGGTCCGGGTAAACAGTAACCCCATTTAGTCTGAAGTTTGCATTGCCCGGGCGCCGCGATTGGCGTAAAGCTTAACCGGATGCGACGTAGTTCATCCGGCGTCATTATCCGGATGTGCACCCCGCTACGACCCGCGGGTGCGGCGGAGGGTTAATTTTTACGTCACGCTTGGAAGAACCGCCGCGGGGGACTTGGCAGACATCGCTATATATATTAGTCAATAGAAGAGATATTTTTGACGCATTCTTGTTCCAGAAGTCTGACTTGTAGCACTTAGGAGCAGTTTCGAATTCTAGTTGCATTTTGAACAGAGTGTACTGTAAGTCTTATTACCAGAGACGGTTAAGGAAGGAAGGAGATACATGGCATTATCTATCGGAGTGTACCCGTGAAGGTTTTTTGCAAGTATAATACGGAAAATATTATTACACCACGTTATCTAGTCTCAAAGGAAGGAAACTTTGTACTACGGGTACAGGTAACTGATAAATATAGGTACTTAAACATACTCTCCTTTTGTAAAAAAAACACATATTTTAGACATATAAACACCCAGACCATAAAAAACACTATGTTCATCACACAATATTTTTATAGTAGTGTGGATCGAAACTCCCTCATAGAAAAAGACTACGTTCATAACCCACCCATAACATCTTTCTAGTAGTGTGAATGGAAATCACCCTCTGGCTCCAGAGACAGGGTCACTATCCACTACGCCAAATGGTTCGTCATATAGTGAATGGTATTCACATTACGCTGCGCCTATTTTCTCACAAACCTGACAGGTGGCAGGCTTGTCGTCTGTGAGTTATAAATAAATTCACAAAAGCGCCAAGCTCTCAACAAACGGTTCACTTACAAGGGGCGACGTTTCCGAGTGACATCCCGCGAACAATGACTTTTAGTGTGACAAAGATGTTATTACCACCAAGCCAAGGGACATTCAACCTTAATTCAAGTGATATACGTTCTTATTAAACATAAAATCAAGCTTGTGTTAATATAAAATCATTAGGACAATGGTACTTGTGATCGGGTTCCGTGTCTATCTTATCCTTTAAACGAGCAATTCTTGTATATATATATATATATAATCGGAATCTCGGAAACGGCTCCAGCGATTTTCATGAAATTTAGTATGTGCATAGATTCGGGGGCGAAAAATCGATCTAGCTAGGTTTCATTTTTAGAAAATGTCCTTTTATCCCTGTTTTCAGGGAATGAAAAATATAATTCGAATATGACGGTAAGTTTCGCCGCAAGAGAAAATGTCATAATAGCTCGGTCGGTAATCGGGCGGCCCCAAAACAGACGGCCGTGGTTCGCGTCACGATCATTTACACATTTATTGTTTTACTTTTTTTTCGATTCAAGATCATTGCTTTCTTTATTTTTAATTTTTTGTCGATTTGTTACTTTGTTATTTTTTTCCCTTTTTTTTTAAAACTTTCTTTTGTGAAAAACATCAGTTCATATTTTCTTATTATTACGTCGGTAAGATCGAAAAACATTATGCATATTTCATTACTCAGTAATTTGTATCTAAATGTAATTTCCAAAATACACGATTTACCAAAAAAAAAAACAAACCTTTCTCCGGGTACTTTCATTTAAGGGAGATAAATACTTTCTTATTATTGATCATTTGGTGACGGATATAATGTAAATTTGAAACGTTAAAGCTTAATTTAGAAGAATGTTCATCAGACATGAAACCATCCAGAAATACGTAGAGGTAATAAGACAGCGTCTTATTTACATGAGTCTGAGAACAAGAAGAAAACCGGCCAAGTGCGAGTCGGATTCGCGCAAGAAGCGTTCCGTACTTTTATCTATACAAACGGCAAAAAATCATGTCTGTTGTATGGGAGCCCCACTTTGTTTATTTATTCTGTTTTAATATTTGTTCTTATAGCGGCAACAGAAGTACATATATCATCTGTGAAAATGTCAACTGTCTAGCTACGGTTTATGAGATACAGCCTGGTAACAGACGGACAGACAGATAGATATACAGACAGAAAGACAGCGAAGTCTTAGTAATAGGGTCCCGTTTTACCCATAGGGTACGGAACCCAAAAAAATAACATTTAAGTTCAGAAAATGAGTACACATTCTGAAACAAAATAGTGGAAGAGGCTTTGGCACTTTTCGAATTAAATTATCTACACACTGTGTAAACAATTATACATATAATAACAATTTAAAAATAACGACGTGATTTCAGATAGCATTTCACAAATTATTTTAAACGACGTTACTTGAAAAACGAGACCTGTGCTAAAGCAACGAAAGCTTCCAAGCCTTTCTTTTTTTTTATGTGAAATGCAGACGGTTCACCTGATGTTAAGTGAATACCGCCGCCCTTGGACATCTGCTACAACCGAGAGTTACAGATGCGTTGACAATCTTTTGTAAATTGGGCTCCGGCTACCTCACTCACCAGACGAAACGCGAAAGTATTTGTCATACTTCTACTTTACGCCGGTCTTCTATGAGGTCGTGGCACTTACCCGGACGGGATTGCCCATTCGTGCAATAGCCGAGGCTCTGCGTGACCCTATAACCGTTGACGTCATTTTCTGCACGCATATGCCAGCTCGAATGGGAAGGCACCACGGACTCACAGACTGGATTATCTAAGTCCTCACCTAAGGAGTCACCTCATCCTCCTCTATGGTTTATGACACTTAGTGGTTGGCAACTCGTCCGAAACACCTCTCGTTTTGTGAGTGGAGACGCTTTGACGTATCCTTTAACATATCCTTAAGAGAAAAGTCCTTAAAACGTATTGCCGGTATACTCAACTCGTTATTTAGAAACGCTACGCATTATTAAACTCGTAACATTATCAAGCGTGTTGTTGTTCGATATAACAGTAATTGGTTCAGATTGAGATGATAAATTTAAAGACAATGGACTTATGAAATTATTAGTTGCAAGGCGCCCCCTGTTATATATGCATTATAATAAATAAATGTATGAGAGGCGTTAGGAGGGTGTTTAATGTTCTGGAAATATCGAAAAATTAACGGGTAGGTATAAGATATTTACAAAGTACGTACATTATTTTCCTTGGAAATATTTAATGCGTCGTGAAAGTCTGGTGGATTTGTAACTTTAGCTAAATTTGTCAAGCTCTAAATCAATAAATGTTTTCTAGAATAACATGCTATATTTCATACTTTTGTAAGAGGCACTGTTGAAAGTATTGTTTACGCTTCGTATTAAAATAAATAATGTAAAAAGAATTATTTAATAATAGGTACTAATGCGAAATATAAAACGCAACGTTCGACGCGTAAATAAACGTTTACAGTAAAGAAAGTAACGGACTTACAAAACGAATGCGCCCAAGTGAATTTTTGTTATTATCTTTAATACATAACTGTTAAGAAAACATGTTAAAATATGTACTGAATAAGTTAACAGTTATAAAGGTGCACTTTACTTTTTCACAGAAATAAAGCAAATATCAAAAAGTAAGGAAATAAAAGATGAATAAGGTGGACGGCCGACCTAGCAGAGATCGCAGGGACGCGTTGGATGCAGGAAGTGGAAGTCAATGGGGGAGGCCTATGTTCAGCAGCGGACGTCCTACGGCTGATATGATGATGATGGTGATGAAGGTTATACCCAAACCGCTCTTATTAATGTTAATCGTAATAAAGAAAACATTGAGTGTTAGCTATAATTTGTTTTATCGAGCTAAGAAGGTAGAAATATAAATACTTTTACCAAATCACCGTACTTTCACTTTGCACAACAATAACACTGGTATAATTACTTATTTTACCACTTTAATATCACTAATGAAACAGCACTCTAACGATTTAATCTGTGATACCGATTGGGCGGCACAATCGCGTATACTTCTGGTTTGACAGCCAAAGAAGAAGACGAAGACGACGAAGACCACGAAATGCTTCTTGCAGCTTCATTTATACCCCACAGATTGACACTTCTTTTTGTATTGCCAACAACCTCAAGGAATGACTTCCTTTAGTGTTGCCAACATGAGTAAGGTTTCGAAGGCTAAGGACATAAAACTATAACCTGAGCTCGCAGATAACAAAGCATTCAACGAACTAATTTCGTACTTACAACGTTACATAAAAATGAACCCTATAGTAACGGGCCGACTACCTCCCGTTTAAAACTTCGATATAAAATGTAACAGAACTAACCGACTCCATCAGGACTAAGACTCCTTTAAGGGTTGGATACAAAAAGACGAAACAAAAGGAAGCTAGGGAGAAGCCAATCTTTAACTATGTAAGCAGACGATCACAGAAAATTTTAGTTTTTAATCGTTGCCGCCATAAATCTTGTTGATAATGTTAGCTTTACTTTGTTTTATCGAGCTAAGAGGGTAGAAATATAAATACTTTTGCCAAACCACCGTAGTTTCACTTTGGCACAACTATAACACTGTTATAATTACTTATTTCCACTTTTAGATTAAAAAAGCACAACTCTAACGACTTAATTTATGGT